GTGCTTTTGATCATATGACTAGCCTTTCTACTTTGTTTGTTTCATATGATTTACTTCCTGGACGTGACAAAATCACCCTAGCCGATGGCTCTCTTGCCCCTATCTCCGACAAGGGAACCATCAAGGCTACAGACTCCTTGGTTCTTCCTTCTGCTCTTCATGTACCTAGACTAAATACAAACTTGTTATCTGTAAGTAGCCTAACTAAGTCATTAAACTATTGTGTAACCTTCTTCCCTTCCTACTGTGTTTTTCAAGATCTGGAGTCTCAGAAGGTGATTGGGAGTGGCCGTGAGGCAAATGGAATATATCTGTTGAATACTCCTGGACAGTGCCATGAACAACCTAGAAAAGCTGCTTTTGGGTCTACATCTACAAAGTCCACCAGTCGAGTCATGTTATGTCATTTTCGTTTGGGTCATCTTTCTTTTTCTGCATTAAGTCATTTATTCCCAGAACTGTTTAAGGGAATTAGTTTGTCCAGCCTTCATTATGAGTCTTGTGAACTGTCAAAACATTGTAGAAACAGTTATCCTCTGAGTAATAAAAGATCTTCTTCTCCTTTTAATATTGTGCACTCTGATGTGCGGGGGCCTTACCAGTTACCTTCTATGGGTGGCTACAAATATTTTATCTTGTTCATTGATGACTTTTCTCAGTTCACTTGGATATTTTTTATGAAGTCCCGTGATGAAGTTCCCAAACTTGTGAGGCAATTCCATGAATTTGTCCTAATCCAGTTTGATATCAGAATTAAAATTTTCAAATCCGACAATGCAAAAGAATATTTTGAGAAAAACCTGACCTGCTATCTCACTGATTTAGGGGTTAATCATCAAAGCTTTGTGTTAGGACCCCAGAACAGAATGGAGTTGCTAAAAGAAAAAATAGGCATATTGTTGAAGTTGCAAGAAGTATTCTATTTGCCTCACATGTCCCTACAAAATTTTGGGGTGATGCTATTCACACTGCTACCTACCTTATAAACTGTATGCCATCCAGGGTTTTAGGGTTTAAGTCTCCCTTCAGTCTTCTTCATCAGGACAAGGATCTTTTCTTATTCCTCTTCGTGTCTTTGGCTGCACTTGTTATGTACATATCCCAAGTGTCCAAAGACATAAATTTGAACCAAAAGCCCACAAGTGTATCTTCCTTGGTTATTCCCCCACACAAAAGGGCTACTGTTGTTTTGATCCGAAGACTGGCACTCGGTATGTCTCAATAGATGTCACCTTTGATGAGCTTTCTTCCTTATGGTTCTTCTCTGGAGAGATATTGTCCAAAGGGGGAGGATTTGTCACAGGTGTTTGCTCTTCCTCTTCCTGTCCCAGTTGAGTCTCTTCCTCCTTCATATGAGTCAAGGGAGGATCAGTCACTTCACTCTCATTCCAGTGTTCCTATTCCTCCTCATTCACCTCCTCGCCCTCTTTTTAATCCCAGGTTGTACCAACGGCAGTGAACCAAAAATGAGCAGATTGTTTCCCCCACAACACATGAGCCTCATGCACTTCCAGTTATAGATGAGACAACAGGTACTGTTACAGCCCCTTTGGAGCCATCCTTCTGAGACCTTGATATCCCCATTGCTATTAGGAAAGGAAAAAGGAAGTGTACTGCACATTGCATTTCCAAACACCTTTCTTATAGTTTGCTCTCTCCTTCATATTTTGCCTACCTTTCTTCTGTTGCTTCTAACCCAATTCCCAACTCTGTGTTAGA